AATGAGCGTCGGCGCAGAAGAAAGGTTGGAATAAATGCGTTGCGTGCCGCGGGACACTTAGGAAGGTCGCGTGCCGGGCACGTCGCCTCTCTTAACCCCTCTCAATTATTCCTCGCCGCGCGCTGATGAATTATTCATGCCGCCGGCAAAATTTCATTGCCATTATCAATAAATGTACACACACGAGTCGTGCCCTCCGACCATAAATAATTGCGCGAATTCGAATCAATTCTTTCCTTCCCGAAACCTTGCTTCTTTTTCGCGAGCGAAATTATATATTTGGCCCCTCCCTGGGGCTTGTCAAAGGGCCACTTTGTGCCGGCAGCACGTCGTAACATGCATTCAATTGAACGGTCAGCAGGTGTGCATTTAATGGAAATTCGTCCCACAATGAGAAGCGGCATGTGAGCCAGTGGCAAATTATCATAATGGCCGGCGAACAGAAAGGGGTCACTTGACCATTCCTACCAGTTGAATTTGTCGATCGCTCTCCTGGCACTGCACCCATGTCCGCGCTCGAATAAAATAAATGGCCACAATTTATTTCAAGACCCCGTAAAAAGGAAATGAGTTGTGCATCGCTTGAAAGGGGAGAAATTTTTCCTGAAAATATGGATTCAAAAATTTTTAGTTAGAGGGAATTAAAATTTTTAAGGTTTTCCTGAAACTGCTGTTTAAACGTTGACATATTATTTAAATTAATTTCCTGAAGTATTTCTTTAACTTTAATCTTCTTTTTATAGAATTGGAAGAACTTCCTTCCATAAATAGAATAGTAATAATTACCAAAATAAATAATCAATTTCAATGTGAAATCATGAAATTAATTATTTTTAGCCTCAAATTTTAAATTTTCTAGTTTTTATCTCTACGAAGGTAACAAACTTTTGTACATTTGGAGATGAAAAAAAATACAATCAAATCAAAATTAAATTAACCTTTTTCAGTTACCAAAACAATAGTATCTAAGCTATAAATCATCAATACAATATTTGTATATTTTCTCACATCAAGTCAATATACAAGAAAAAAAATGGAAATTGCAAAGGAAGAGATCAATGGTTTGGAGAAGTAAGCAAGTATTCAATTAATTTCATGCTCCCCCCACTCTTCGGTCACAAAGCACATGGTGTGGTCGTCAGTGTGTCCGTTGGACAGAGGCTGATTGTCAGGCTGTCAGTGTCTCTTAATGAGCTGCACAATGGCCTATATCAGCAGCGAGTCTCAAGGCCTCGGCTGTCGCGAGCATCCATGTTAATGAGATGCACCTCAGCTGCAGCGGGAGGGTCGCGTAATTAAATTACGCCATTGACAACCAACCAAACGTCGCTTTCGGCAGATCGATATTGCGTGCCGAGCCGTGGATCACGCCACACATGCAAAAAGAAACAAAGAAAGAAAGCTCTCGTGTGTGTGTCGGATGCGATAAGGAAATTACGATAAATAATTGATAAAAAGCAACTGGCCGACGCGTGTGGCCCGAGAGAGGGTGAAAGGGCTAATCTAAAATCGGCAAGCTTAATTCGTTTGCGCTACTTGACTTTTCAAGGGTGTCTGGTAGGCCAGAAAATTCGCAGCGAGCCGCCTTTTTGTGATAAATGTATGGATTATGGAAATTTACTAATTATTTATTTTAATAAAATAGAAACGCATTCTTACTAAATATTTAAAATTCTTGCTTTCAAAACCAATCCATTTTTAATTCATCATCTATTGCGGCAAACAAAAATTAAAATCATTTTGATTTCGATTTCTCGATTAAATAAAAACTTACTATTGGAAAGTAAAATTGTTTTTTGTTTTAGTTATTTAATTGATCACAGGTTGACCTGCAGTTTGTTTTGAAAATAAACAAACTGAATGTCAAGCAATAAATCTCTGCCCTCGATAGAATTGAGCAAAATCGAACTCTCTGGTACAATTGGTGCCGGATTGCACGGCGAATTTTTTGCAATTGTTCGGGCGGCCTGAGTTTTCTGTTGCCGAGTGCGGTGCGCGGCAATTACTTGATGTGCTCGGTTTAATTCGGCCAATTAAAAATTTTATTGTTTTAATTTGCTGGAACAAGCGGCGGTGGCGCGCGCTTTAATAGGTCAAGTATATAGTTTTACGGCCTCAATTAATTAAATTATACACAACTCTCTCTCTCTCTCTCTCTCTCCCTCTTTCATGGAATTTTTCTTCCCCCCGCGAGTGCCTGCCTTTTTTAATCATGCTGGTAATTATTTTTTATCCCTTTATATTTCATATAATTTTCATTTCGCCGGCGTGTGATGAAAAAGGAGTCGTGCGTCTAGCGCCAATTGTCTTTCTCTCTCGGCGGCGCAGACCGGGGCGGCGGCATTAATGAGAACTAAAGCAATTAGAGCGGCAGCCAGCATTTTATGTGTGCAACCCTTTCCCCGGGGGCGCCCACCATTGCAGCGTGGCGTTAAATTAAGACTGCGCCGCGAGAGAGCGAGAGAGAGAGAGAGAGAGAGAGAGAGAGAGAGAGAGAGAGAGAGAGAGAGAGAGAGAGAGAGAGAGAGAGAGAAAACGAATTTTCGGTCATCACCTGCGACTACTCGCAACGCACTGAATAATTTCCTTCTCTTAATTGCCCATTCAGAAGAAGCGGAAAATTTTAGGAGCAGTACATTTTTTATGAAATTAAAATACACGATTGTGTAAATTTTGAAAAAAAAATCATCAGAAGAGTGTGAAACTTTAAAATGATTCAGAATAAGGTAAAGATATTTTTTTAAAAAAAAAGCAAAATATAAAGTTTCTTAAGTTTTGAAACTTCATGAACAGAAAATGTCCGCCAATTTCGGTCAAAGTAAAGTGATTGTTCTAACTTAATTAATTTCTAATAGTGTTCAATTTTCATTATCCGCGTCAGAATCAAGCATGGCAGAATATCAAATTGTAACAGAATTAGCCTTTGGAGGGAAACGAGCCGCCTTTGAAATCGGACACCACTGACATTCTCTCCTCCTCGAATAATACATTTGACTAGTAAAATTGGATCCGTTCTTCTCTCCGCGCCTGCCAGCCAAATGCAAAAAGCATTTCTCCAGAGACTGTCATACCTGAAGGGCACTCTCGGGTCCAAGTTGCTCTCATTATTCCGGGTCCGTTATTTGATCTCTTGATTCGGCCCATGTTATTGTTGACCCGATGAGCCAAGGGCATTATCTATATCTGCAAGATCAAAGGCGAGGCCCGGCCGGGAAAGTGATACACCCTTGATTATTCACGAGACGATGCCGACTGTGTATTTTTCGACCGACTCCTTGACGTGAAGAGCCCCTACTCGTGTATCGGCCCGCGAGCGACCACTTTGTGCTTGTGCACCTTCTTATCCCCAGCTCGCAACTCCAGACCAAAGCTAAATTCCACCTGAGGCCAGTCGACGTTCAAATTAGGAGCAAATGCTAACATCAAATCTAGAATTCATCCTAAAAATCTGCTAAATATGAAAAATCATCCTCAAAATTTTACTCTTTCTAATTTGAATCAAGTGGAGTAATTGATATTAAAACCAATTAAAAGAACCATAAATTGGTTGAAAATATTGTATTTCTCACTTGTTTACTTAAAATTTTTTTAATATTGCAATTATGTATTTGGGCAGTAATTTCCTGATGATGTTCATAATGTCAGTTAGCAATTATAAATAAAATAAATCAAAATAATAAAACACTTTTTTACTTTTAAGTAAAAAAGTAAACTTTTAAAAAAGTTTTTTTAATTTATCTTCAGGAAATAAATTTTTTAATGTATAATAGATACAGTTATTATAATTTGACTTTTTAAGCCTTTTAAGGATTGATTTGCAACTGTTTTAAATTCTAACAATTAAATATAAATAACAATAAAAATAAAGCCACGTGGGATCTGAAGGTCCATTCTGGTAATTCAACTTCTTACAATTAGGTTGTGCAGTAATTAATCACCAAATTTGGTGCGCAATCGATACAGGGTGGCCGAGGGTGCGCGCATGTGTGTGTAGATAAAAAGGCTGCTTCTCTCTCTTGCTCTCCAAATTAATTAGCAATTCCCAAAAGAGGTTGCGCTCGTATAGAAACAGAGGAGCGAGTCGAGTGTTTGCTTATCAAGGAGCTCTCGAGCGACCCCGCTCGTCTGACCTTTCGGCGCGCACACACGCAAACATGCGCGCACCTTTTTTCCACATTATCTCGCCATCATCAAAGGACCTGCCCGAGGCCTTCTTTGCCTCTCCTGCAAATTAAAGGCCGCCCCCACCGCCCCCCGGCCCACCTGCGCCCTCGGCCCCAATTAGGACGTAATAATGGCCGCATTAATTGGCGATTCCTCCGCCTAATTCTGCGCGCCGATGAATAGTCAGAGCGGGTTAGCAAATTGGAACGGCTCGCCGCCGCCGCCATCGCGATTATTAATTAGCGAAATGCTGAAAGGCCTCCCTGTCTCGAAATTGGATTGGCCGGATTTTGTTTTGGCGACGAGGAAGGAAATGTTTAAACTCATTAGGGCCATATAAAAGCAGCTTCTCGGTATTCATGTTTATTGAGAGAGAAGAAAATTATTTGATCCCAAATTTAAAATTAATTCCACGGTGATGGAGGAGATTTAATTCAAAATTAATGTGTTCAAATCAGATCACCTATGTAAAAATTATTTGGCAGAATATTTATAAAAAAGTAAATTTTCCGAATAAAGTTTTGCAAAAAGTCAGTTTAAAATAATTGGTTAATTTGTTAGTTTATTCATGATTTGAGATGAGGTATTAATTTTCTTTAAAAATTCCCATCTTAAACATTGATATAAATAGTTATCTGATTAATGGCTTTCAAAAATTTATATTTTAATATAATAATTAAAAAAAATAAAAATTTTGATCTCAAAAAAGAGATTATTTTAATCATAAATTATTGAAATAATCTAGAATTGCTCAATTTTTTCCGTAGATTTATTACTTGTTGGAAATGTTTTTGAATAAAAACTGACCGTGCTTTTTGTTGTTGTGTTGATTTCAGATGGAGGGCAGCGAAGACGCGGCATTGGACTGGGTGACGTCGTGGTGATTTTCCTGCCACCCGTCGTCACTGAATTAATCGAGCTCACAGTGTGTCACGTGCGGACCTGCACTTGTTCCTCTGTGGAAAGTGAACTAACGAACCAATCAGTGATTTCCGTAGCTCAATCAAATTCAGCCCGCGCCATTTGTGCAACAATCAAACTCAACACCCCCGTTCTTACTATAAATAGTTTCTACTAGCATAAACACTACAAGCGAATTAAGACAATTGTGTATGGACGCTTCTTTTCAGAGGATGTTTGATATTACTCATCAGGACCCCATCTGTGCGATTCTGGAAGACCTTTTCTTAATTGAAAATCTGTGATGATGTGTACATAGGTGTATCATAATGATTGAAGACGACGGCAAATTTTGCAACAAAAAGCATCAGGTTAACTTAATTAATTAATCATTCATTGCCAAAGCATTGGAAAGAAAAAAAGGTGGGAACAACTTGAAAAAAGCAACAGAAGTTTTAAGAAAAAAAATTAAATCAATTTTGATTCTTTTGCCGGAGTGAATGCATTTTTTGCAGAAGTATTTTTCAAAGTCATTTCGATCGATGTTGGATTGTTGTTGCTGTTCATGACGTTTTTGCCGATTATTCATTTGGAACCCAAAAATTATCTTGAGGAGAGCGATTGTGAGCGAATTTCTTCCTGCGTTTTTGGTCTGATTGTTTACACCTAAATGTTCAAATTGTTACGCTGGATCTTCTCTGCGCGTTAATGAAATGGAGCGAATCATTGCGTGTAATATATTATAATTCATTATTATTATTATTAAAACTTCTTGATGGATTTGGTACAACCTGATGTCTGTGATCCTCGACTATACCTAGGCGATTGACGGTTTGTTTTAGCAATAATTTACACGGACACACAAACACATACACACGTTTAACTCACAAGTGAATCAATCACCCTACTCGATCACTCACTTCCGAGAGCAATATACACGGTTTTAGCTTCAGAGGAGATCGAAAAAAAGAAAATTTTACGCAAAAATTTTATTGCGCTTGTTTTCAGTTTTTTTTTATTCAACTTTGTGTTTTACATCTGGTTAATTTTCCCGTTTTACAAGATCTGATCGTTTTTACCCTTTTTTAGATCAAAAAATCAATTGTTTTTAAATATAGTCCTCCTCATATTCTTGCCCATTGTTGACGAACGCACTCGCCGCAGGGTGTTGTTACTTATTTGGATGATGTTGGCGTACAAATCCCCAAGAACTGTACATTTTAAACTGCCCCTTCTTCCGTTCTCCGATCGGAACACACACACCTGCCAATGTTTGTTGAATTTTGTTGCATTAAAAAAAAAATTAAAAATAATAAAATGCAAACAGCTGCTGTTACAATTTGAAATTTGATGCAAGAGAGCTACATTTTTCACACTCTGCTCTCACTCCCGTTTTTTAAACACGCAGCCGATTGTAATGTACCATAAAAGATTCATTGAAAACTTATAATTATTGTAATAAAAATTACGACGAGAGGAAAAACATGAAATTTTTTGAGAATCACATTTGCTCAACCATGTTACAATTTGTGTGAATAATGTTGAACGCGGAATACATGAAAACAGAAAATGATGGCGAACCAATAAAATGAATCATAATGAAGGAACTGCAGTTTTATTTCAGCATTAATTAAACCGAACAAAGTCGTGACATAAAAAATAAATAAAATAATAGAATTTTAATAGCAAAGAATGTGGATTTTGAGGTACAATAATAAGATTATTTTCTTCTAAGAATTAATTAGTATTGTTGCACTCGTATTTCTCGCTATTAAAATAAATTCTTGATTTATTATTGGAAGTTACAAAACGCATGAAGCATTCCTATGGAAAAAACAAATTGTAAATTCATAAACATTAACCGACTGTGTGGCACAGTGGTTAGTGCGCTTGGCTGATAATCTGGAGGCCTTGGGTTCTATCCTGGCTAGGGTCAGGGCTTGAAAAAGTTCTGATTCTGACCAGCTAGTTCACAAGACTACAGAAAATCATAGGAGGTGCATTAACCACTGCGACAGGCAGATTCGGGAGGAATTGCAGGCATTTCGTCTGCAATTTCGGCTATGCTGTCTGGTGTTTTCTGCGGTTTCCATCAGACATTCCAGGCGAATGCCGGCATAGTTCCCATTCATAGGCCGCAGCCGCTCACCTTCCTCATCCTTCAAATTCCCAACATACAAACCCATCCTACACTCCCTTCTCCCTGGCCCAGTGGGTCGCAAGGTCACCGTGTTATCGGCCCCGAAAGGGGAGAATCCGAGTTATCGGCCCTTGCGATTTAGCAGCCTGTCTGCTACCGCTGGTGCCTTTCCCAAGAGGGATAAACAATTAAAAAAAAAAAAAAAAAAAAAACACGCATATTCCAATAGTTGTTTTGCTTATGAACAAATTTATTACAATAAGATTCCATCAGCTATTACTCTGACAGCACAGTGCTTTGAGACAACTTATGTAAACTATAATTTTAATGGTAACAATTATTTCTGTGACAGAAGTATTAAAAAAGTAGTGTAATATAGTTGTTGTGTAATATGGTGTAATAATTCAATATTACCACTAATTATTCCGTGTTGTAAAAGAGCCCTCTTGGAGACGATTGATATATTTTTCTTTTTAGATCTGTAAACTACTAACAATAAGTTTGCAAGAATTTTCCTTTAATATATATGGTAAGGTATGTATTTCAAAGAGCAAAACAAAGCCACTCTAAAGTTTAAAATGGAATTAATTATTAATTACTATTAATTCCGATTTGAATTATCAATAATTGACTGAAACTTTTTGACAAGCATAATATCTTATTTTTTATCTGTGCCTTGAGCAATTAATTACATAAAAAAAGTAGGTACTTGAAAGTAATCCATTTCTAGAGATTCTCCTCTGCGAGTCGCAAAAAGCAGTTTGAGTTTTTGCCGTCGGTCGGTTCGGAGATAAGTTTGTGGAAACCGCATTGCTGGCAGCGGCAAGTAGATTTTCATCGCATTGAGCAGCAAAAATTACTGGCTGGAAGACTCCGCCTCCGTTAGATTAAATGACAAGTGTAAACATGGGCGAGATGGCACAGCATTTTACGACGCCCAAGGAATAAAATTTATTTATTGCACCGCAACTGTAAAACATGTCGCAATTTGATGACAGCTCCGAATTGATATTCAAATTTGAATAAAACTGCGCAGATCGGTTATTTTTTCATTTACGGTCAATAACAACATACCTTATCCGTTTTTTCTTCTGTGCGCATCATTGCGAGGGGCAGCGCAAATTGAAAGAGTTGGCCGCGGCCAAATAATATACAGAGAGGGGTGAATTTTGCAGGCGTATAAAAGTGGATTTTAAATAAGTAACAAGCACGTGGCGCTGCAGGGCCACAATTTGATCTTGCGCGTCCATAAAAAGTGGCGCTCTGAATAATTTATTCGGCCATCACGCCGACTTTTTATATGAATAGCAGCAGGCCCTCTTTTTACTCTCCGCTAGTGGCTGTCAAACGGAGGAGACATTCGCCCGCCGCCGGTAACGTGCGGTGCAACAGTTATGAGAGAATAAGAGACATCTTTGCCTCCGCCGCGCGTTTTATTGTTGCGCGCATGCACTATTCATTGACAGCAGGACCACGTTATTTGCACCAGACAGACTCTCTTTCCGTTTCTCAGAAGACTCATTGTTTTCGACACGTTCGAAAATATTTGAAAAGCACAAACCGAAATATAATTAGCTTTAAAAGACGTGAAAAACGGGCAAAAGAGCTAAACTGTAAAAGGAAAAAAATGAGCCTTTTTTGTACATTTATATAGATGGATTAACATTTAAATTGATTTTGTAATACATTTATACAGGCTCTCAAATATGTAAAACAGCTACACATATAGCTCTATAGCTAAAAAAATGACAAAAGTGATAAAATTAATATTTAAGAAATAATTAGAAATTACTTATCGAAGTAAATTATATTTTTTCTTAATTATTAATACAAAGTACAATAATTAATAAAAATATTTACAAAAAAAACTTTTGTATATCTTGCGAATCTTTAGTTTTTTATAATTTTATGCATAAAAAATATTCATATATGTATCTGTATACCGTTGGTATTTAATAATAAGAATTATTTTTATATTTTGAGAAGGCCTCAATTGGGATTCTCACACAGGCCCCAGCCAATGAAGTGCCGCCAGTGATCATCTGTCTCTCAAAAACTGTATTTTTTTTATATGAATTAGATTCAAAACGAGAAGAAATATTCATTATAAACAACAGGTCAAAAAGTTTTCATAACGAATACATTTTATTTTTTACCTTTTGCCGGTGCTAAATTATTACGTTATCGTAAGTTATGGGTGCGGTTTGGCGAGATATTTGCTCCAATTTCCAAGGCAAATGCGATTTTCTTTCAGCAGACGAATTTTGCCGCGATTTGAATAAACAAATCTTTGCAAAGGTGCTGCAGCATGAGTCCTTTGACGGATTATTTATTTCCCTTCCGCCTTCCGCCGGCGCAAACCGAATTCATTCCACACCAATCCACAAACAGAACAAAAATTCCGACAACAAAAACAGCGCAGGGGATGAAAAAAAGAAAAGAAAGAAAGCGTGCAGTCGCTAATAATGCAATTTCGGTCTGTCTCTCTCTCTCTCGTTGTGCGCCTTTGGTAATGACGTTAACTCCGCACTGCCACTTTAATATAATAAACAAAATTATACCGGAATCTTATTTCACAGGCGTGCTATTTTTTCCCCTTTGTCTCCGTCCATTTGCATGTCGCTCGGCCCGTTTCAATTAGTCTCTCTCGTAATGTGATTTCAACCCTGCGCCTCGCACTGACCGCTTCCTTAATTCTTTTCAGCGGGAGAGAGACGCGCCTACTTTTTTTACGAGTTTAAAGCGGCCGTCAAAAAGTTTCTTCATCGCCGCGAATAAAAACAAACAAGAAGTACATTTAAGGATTAATGCTGTCGGCCAAAGAAAGTTCTCTCTTCTCGCTTTACTGCGGCTGACGTAAAAAATTATTTCTCCGTATCATTTTTTATTTACGACTGCGAATTTCCCCGCACAAATTGCACCTCCTGAAAATTTAATTTCAAATTAAGACAAAATAACTCCAAAATGTCGTGAGAAACTTGATTTTTCTTTTTACTATTATTCTGTTTATTTTTTAAAATGATCAATACGGCGATTGAAAATAAGAAAAATTACTTAAACATTCTCAATTTACTGAATAACAATTATTATTTCATTAAAAATTTTTGGAAAACTGTGTTGTTGAAAACTCATAAGTTCATACATTGAAATGAATTTTTTTTTTAAAACACGAGTTTTTCAAACAAATTTTCAATTGGACCAATAAAATAACTTGCTATTTTTTTGCGTTTACTATTTTTGCTGCTCTCTTTTTTTGCCAAAGACGAGCTGGCCTGTGCGTTGGTACGGGGCAACTCGAAAATAACGAGGCTCACTTGAAACGCTCAGTCTCGTAACCTCTTTTCTACATCTCTGTGTCTGTGCAATCTCTCTTCATATACAAAAATTGAATAGGTAACTTGTTATCTGGCCTGTTGCTACACATACGCAAGGGACGATGGTCATTGTAGGGCCACTTGCATGCACAATAACAGCGTCGTTATGGAGCGAGAGCCGCTCCTCTCACTAATGGGCTATCGTCGTGGAAACAGACAGAGAGCAATATGTATTTATCTGCCCTCTGACATTTTTATGCTCTGCCTCGTTTTTCGCCAAACTCGCGACTTGTTTGTGACTTTATATCTAGTTTTTTCGCCAAAATATTCAGCAATGTGCTCAATTCCTGCTTATATGTGCAAAATAATCCTTTATTGCAAAGCCTAATTAATTCAATTTAAATATCAAAAATGAAAGTTGCGCAAAATTAGGGCTAGGTAAATTATTTATTAGTAAAATTTTTTCTGAGAATTTTTTAACTTTAAACATTATGTATAAAATTATTAAGTTTCAGAGTCCATTTTAATTAGCGCCTAATGAATGATTTCTGCTATACTTTGTTCGAATCTCAATTTCAGATAAAATCATAAAATTGTTATAGTAAATAGTAAATTGTAAACGAAAATTCAACAAAAATAACTATGTATTTTGGGCAGAAAATTAAAAAAAAATGACGGCTTTTTATACGTTGTGCTATTAGAAATAAAAGGTTGCTTTTAAACCAAATGAGTCTCTTAATTTTTTTGAAACGTAGTTTGTTTCTATTACTGAGTTAATTGAATAAAATTAGCTTAACTGCAATAGTATAGTTTATAGCAAAATTTTCTGACTGCCATCATAAAGTTTTTTTTACAC